ATGGTAATAGCAGAGCAAACCTTGAGGGAACTTGTTTTCCCATTCAGTTTTAATCCCCAAATCTGCATATAAGAAAAAGATTAGTACGCTTCATTTTGCGGATAAAAATTATAGGGTAAATAGAGAGTAAGAAAATCCACCTGAAATCTTCGTCGGAAAGCACTCACTTTCCACCGCCGGCGGGAGTTACTTCACCTTTGTCGCCGACAGCTTCTTTCCTTCTTCTTCTCTCACCTGCAACCAAAACCCAGAAAAGTCAGCAGAAAAATATCAGAATCCCAAAGAGAACTTAAATTCAGAATTGAAAAACAAAAACAGAAGGAAAACGTACCGAGAAGGTGTTCGTTGCTGCACTCTTCGTCGGCGGAAGGCGGAGAGGCTCATCATCCTCCTGACAGAAACCCAATACACAAAAGAAAAAGAACCCAGACCAAATTGAACCCCAAACTCGACATGCAAGCCAAATAAATCATCTATTACTTTCGCCACCGGAATCATCAGCATCGACCGCGTCGACATCATATTTCGTCTCCTCGTGCTCTCCTCGTCATTATCAAAAAGAAAGAATGAATGAGGAGATAAACGGAACAAGAAGAGAACGTAGAGGGAGCAGATGAGAAGAGAAGCGATGAAGATTTTGCGCTGCTTTCTCGTCCAAAATTGACCTATCGCCCACTAAACCACAACTTCGCCTATTATGTCTAAAATCATAAATCAATTGAATGTGATAAAATCCTAAGTTATGTCTAACTCCAATCACCTTCATATGCCAAATGTTCTCTCCTTTAAATCCCCGTTTTAAATTAATCATCAACCTCATTTGTATCATTATTGTTCATATATACAACTTCAAACAACCCTTAATACGAAATCTCGGTCAAAAGACCATGATATTCTTCTCGATAAAATTCTTTTGAAGATAATCAAACATTCAATCACTAAATTGAAAAATCATAAATCCATTTCCTAAAAACTCAAATTATCTTAATCGCGATCAATTGAACGTGTTTAGGATCACTTCATAAAACTCACAATTTAATCGAACTACGTGGACTTTGATCCCGACTAAGTCGGGTACGTAGGCAACCAATAGGTTCGAGTCCAACCAATCTAAAAAATATTTTTACGTCAATAGGCGTGAAAATTATCAAGTAACTACAACAATTCAGAATTTACGTCCAATTGAACTCTAAAAATACACTCCAAAATTATTAAAATCCTACAATTAAATACATAAACAAATCACAATTAACATTACACCCAACCTCTAAAAACTTATCGATTTACATAGTACCCGTTATGGGGCGTTGTGGGGTGTGAATACACTTCCCCACACGTAACCGTACTCCCGAACCTAGAACAATCTAAAATTCGCAGACCAGAACCGGAAAATGGTGTTCGACCCACCCCAAACCACGGTTGATGGAGACTCCAAACCGATTCGCGAGCTTTCCCCGATTTTCCAAGGGCGGTTGCGACAGCTAGTATACTGGAGATGAAACAGGTGGCCAACTACACCAAGTACCTGGGTCTACCTACAGTAATTGGAAGAGAAAAAAGGCAGTGTTTGATGTTCTTCTCAATAGGGTGCGCCAGAAAATCAAACACTGGAAAGGACTCACCCTATCCATTGATTCAAAAGAGGTTCTAATCAAGGCAGTTGCGCAATCCCAGACCACATATATGATGTCAGTTTTTTTTATCCCGCAAGGAGTAGTGAATGAGATAAAAAGAGTAATTTCGAGCTTCTGGTAGGGTCAGCAAAAGGAAAAGCGTCGGATCCCATGGAAGGCTTGGAGAGAGGTGTGTAAACCTAAGGAGGAGGGTGGTATGGGGTTTCGTGACTTACAAGCTTTCAATATTGCGCTACTTGGGAAGCAAATCTGGAATCTCCTAATCAATCCGTAGTCCCTAGTATCACGAATATTGAAATCTAAGTACTACCCCAATACTGACATTCTGCAGGCAAAGATAGGAACCAACCCGAGCTATACATGGAGGAGTATCTTGGCTGCTCAAACGCTGGTTAAGAGTGGTCTACGATGGAGGATTGGAAATGGTTCTAAAGTGAGAATATGGGGAGAAAAGTGGATACTAGGGGCGGAAGAGAATGAGTTTAAGGTAACCACACCTAAAGTGGAATCTGATGAGGTGAGGATAGTTTCTGATCTTATCGACCATGAAAACAGAATGTGGAGAAGTAATTATCTTCAGCTGTATTTCAATCCTACATATAGGGTGAGGATTACTGGAATCCCTATTCCTAGACAGCATGTTGTGGATGAGAGGGTTGGAGCCATGAAAGAACAGGAGTTTACTCTATTAAAACGGCATACAAGCTAGCTTGTAGAACAAGGAATGTGGGTGAGGAATCTACCCATCAGAATGCCGATGAAGGGGAAGAGGTGACAGGGTAGGATGTGGAGGTATACGATGCCATGAACTGGAAGCAGATGTGGACGCTCACAATCCCAGCAAAGGCAACAAATTTCCTTTGGAAATTAGTGCACAACATCTTACCGACAGGGAAAAACAGTGAAATCAGAAAGAAAGAAGCAGTTGCGGAATGTCCTTTTTGTAATCTGGAAGAAACCCATAACCATATTTTTCGTGAGTGTCAATGGGCGATCCGGGTATGGTGACAATCATCTTTTCGACCCCTTTTCGAGATGGAACCAAAAATATCATCGGGAAACTAGGTGTGTAAGGTTATGGAGAAAGTGGACGATGCAACGATGAAATAATTTGTGCTAATACTTTGGATGATGTGGAATGAACGAAATAGCCAGATGTTCAATCGCAAAAGGCAAAGTAATGGGAAGTGGTTGGGAAGGCCCTAGACTACTGAGAGGAATTCAATTCCTATCATAGAAAGGAACAATATCATCGAGAAGTGGAAGAAGTTACCTGGACAAAGCCACCATAAGGATGGGTAAAGGTGAATGTTGATGCGGCGGTGATGCAGAAGGAAGGAACGGGGCTGGGGATGGTACTGAGGGACGAGAATGGGGCATTTCTGTGAGCAGCTGTTTGCCGGACGAGGAATTGCTGGCCGCCAGAGATAGCAGAAATGAAGGCGGTGGAATTTGGATTACAACATCTGGAGAGGAGTGGTTACCGACAAGCGGTGGTGTAGATGGATTGCCAGACTGCCTTTCTTGCTCTCCAAAAGGCAGTTCAATCGAGACTGGAATCGGGTTAGGTAGTTCATGAGATTCAAGAGGAAGCCCAACGGATCGGATCCATTAGATGGAGTTTTACTAAACGGGTTGGGAGTGAAATGACCCACTGTATGGCCCGTGTATTGTGTAAGTGGGAAGCCCAGAAAGTCTGGAATTCCAGACCACCGTTTTTCCTCCAAAGTTTTTTGGCTAAAGAGACTCTAAGTCCTTAATAAAATACAGGTACCTTACTATCGAAAAAAACAATAAGGTTGTTATCGAATTTGGTCAAAGCAAAAGCCATAGAGTTAGGGATATAGGTTGCAAGAAGAGAAAAAATTGGTGCCACGGGAGGTGGAGTTCGGTGTCTTGCTAGCAGTCCAAAAGATCAGCCGAGAGAAAATGTCAAAACTTAGCTTCTTTTATTTGGTGTAGGAAACCTATAGTTTTAGTCAACCAATTATAAATGGACTATATATATATATATGGCGAGTTCTACGGTACCCCGAGTGAAATCTGGTGTACCTCATACCTTGAGTATGAAAACGCTATCCAGGCCTTGAATTGATTGATCTTTTGTACATGATATTATACTCTAACCCTTAAAGATCAAAATCTAGGTGTTAACTCTCCCAATATTTTACTCCAAGATCAATTTAATTAGAAATAATAATCGACGGTTATGATTCATCCAAATATAGGCACAAAAAGGAATGCACCATCTTAGGGTTTATAGATTATGATTTAGATAATTATGACCTAGGGTTCACTCATTAAGGGTTAGGGTATAATATCAGACACAAAAATCCTGGTAATTCGAGGTCTAGATAGAGTTTCCATACTCGAGGTATGCGGTACCCCGGATTTCACCCGGGGTACCATAGAAGCCACCATATATATATATATAGGGTACGACATACCCTTAGTAAGAAAACACTATCCTAGCACCCTGAGTAAGAAAACACTATCTAGACCTCGAATTAACCGAATTTTTGGGCATGATACTATACCATAATCCTTAATGAGTGAACCCTAGGTCTTAGTTATCTGAATCATAGAGCCTAAGCCCAAAGATTATGCATGTAATTCGTTGCAAATATTGCGACGTATCATGACCGTCAATTTTTGTTTCTAATTAAATTCATCTTAGTGTATGAGATTGTAGAATTAAGACCTAGATTTTGATCTTTAAAGGTTTGGGAATAGGATTAGAGATCAAACTCTAGTCAATTCAAGGTCTAGATACCATTTTCTTACTCAAGACAACTATTACATGATTAATTAAACACACTCAAGACAACTATTACATTATTAATTAAACACACTCACAAATTAAAACAGATACAAAGTATTAAACAATTTAATTTTTAGATTTGTGCTTTGTGTATGTGTTTTATTTAAATATTTTATTTTTTATTAATAAAAAATTGTTGCAATTATCATTATAAAAAAATTGGTGCAATTATTGGGCCAAAATGTATTAATTATTTAAATATTTTCAATATCAACTCAAAATTAAATTATATTTATTGATTTTAATTAACAATATAATAATTTACTAATTTTAGTTGAAAAGGCATTACAATATTTTAGTAAAATGATGTCAGTAATATGAATATAGAATTGTAGTAAAATTAAGTAGGATCCACGGTGTAATTGTATGTGAATGACATTGAGGTAGATGGTATAAAAGTGAGGAGCGAGATAGTTGTTAAAGTTGTTGAAGTGACAATAAAGAGCACACTTGAAATTGCATAAGAATTGTATCAATGAGGATGGTCTTAACGCCCATGATTTGCTTACTAACAATCTAACCGCTCAAATTTCCCAGCACCGGTACACACCTGGTACCATAGTCTTTGCCCCTCATTTATGAAACTCAATTCATTATTTTAGTGGGCGGCTTGACACCCAGCAGCCTCCATTTATACCAAGGAATTTCCTTCCTGGGGGGCCGCCATCTTCACCTCCATGCATTATTACTAAATCCTTCCGTTTCTTCCTCCCCTTCTCTCTCCCCATCCATCTCTCCCTCTCTCGATGGCGGGAAAACACGACGATGAGCAGCTGCTCGTTCAAAGAAACAGCTCCGCCGCCGCGGCCGCCTCCTTCGTCGCCGGCGCAGATGACATACCCCCGATCACAAACCTCCGTGACTTCTCCAGAGAGTTCTGCGCCGAATCGGCCAAGCTCTGGTTCCTGGCGGGCCCCGCCATCTTCACCACCATCTGCCAATACTCCCTCGGGGCCGTCACCCAGGTCTTCGCCGGCCAGGTAGGGACCCTCGAGCTCGCCGCCGTCTCTGTCGAGAACTCTGTCATCGCCGGCTTCTCCCTAGGCACCATGGTACGCTCTTTTTATAAGTATATAGACCGTACATGGATCAATTGAAAGAAAAAAAAAACTTTATACAATTCATTTCCAACTGCACTGATTAATTAAACATCCATTTTAATGATATATAAATGTCCCGTTTCATAATATTTTCTTCGATCGTATTCTAGTACAGTGACGAAATTGATAGTTGACTTAGCTAGTATTGAATTTAATGTGCATTATTTTTTTTTACAGTGCATTGAAAAAATATATATATAGTGCATGCATACGATTCAATCTATCTTAAAACTTGCTTTAAGATACTAAATTTTGTATTTAAATATGTAAATTTAGTATAATATAATGATATATTATAACATTATTACTACTAATTCATGCATTATCTAAGCCCTAAACCTTAAATTCTGAATCTTAACTAGTATTGTATTAATTGTGCATTATTTTTCTCTTTTATAGTTTTAGTACAGTGACGAATTGATAGTTGACTTAGCTAGTATAGTATTCATTGTGCATTACTTTTTTTTCCTTTTTTAGGTACATTCACAAAAATTAGAGCCTACGGTGCAAACAACCTTAAAATTTGCTTTGAGATATTAAATTTTGAATTTCAATGGGTAAATTTAGTCTAATACGATGGTATAATATATAATCACAACTAATAATTCATACATTACCTAAGATCTAAATCTGAAATTTTGAATCGTACCTCTAAATTCGTAAACAAAAACTTTTACATTGGAGTAAATAATTTTGAATGTTTTATGTGCCATTCATATATTTTCTATCCACCATATAACAAGTGACAACTATTTTCACATAAAAAATCAAATTTCCAACTGACGACTATAAAACGGATGTATAAGCACGTACTCGAAAAAAATGAGAACACCGAAAACAAAAACTCATGTATAATAATAATAATCATATTCCCCTTAATTTCTTTCAATATTCCAGGTGGGCATGGGAAGCGCGTTAGAAACACTGTGCGGGCAAGCCTACGGGGCAGGACAGGTGGACATGCTAGGAGTCTACCTACAACGCTCGTGGGTCATCCTCCTCGCCACGTCAACCCTCCTCACCCTAACCTACATCTTCGCCGCCCCACTTCTCCTCCTGATCGGCCAGCCCGCGTCCATCTCACGCGCCGCTGGCACCTTCGCGATCTGGATGCTCCCCCAGCTCTTCGCCTACGCGCTCAACTTCCCCATGGCCAAGTTCCTGCAAGCCCAGAGCAAGATGGCCGTGATGGCCGGGATCGCGACGGCAGCGCTTGTCCTCCACGCGGCCCTCAACTGGGCGCTTTTAGTGGTGAATCCGTCGTGGAGCCTCGCCGGCGCGGCGGCGCTGCTGGACGGCGCGTGGTGGTTCATCGTGGCGGCGCAGTTCGTGTACGTGGTCGGCGGGGGGTGCGGGAAGGCGTGGGGCGGGTTCACGTGGAAGGCGTTCCGTAATTTGTGGGGGTTCGTGAGGTTGTCGCTAGCGTCGGCTGTCATGGTTTGGTAAGTCAACTTTTGCTTAATTAGCGATGGATTCCATAAATGGGAGATGGGCCGCATCCTTCAGGCGACGCCACCGCCGTCCCTTTCGGTCATTAACATAGACGTTGGGAGAGTGATTTCGAATAAGCAATTGTTCAAAGTTTAGAATCTGAAGCTAATGAGGATAGAATTGAAATTAGATCTGACATTTAATTAGGACAAAATATTTGATAGAATAAGGTGGGATAGAAATGAATTATCACAAAACAAAATGTCACGTGGAATCACCGATTATAATTTTTAATTAGTCGTTTGGTTTTGGTGATTGTTTGATTGAAATTGTTATAATGCATGTATTGTTCACAATGAATTTTTTTTTTAAATTTTCTGCACAAACAATACATGCATTGTTTGCTTGATGTGATGGAAATTATCACTCAAAATGAGTGATAGTACTATCTCTACTAAAACTTGAGATTGTTTTGAGGAGATTGTTTGGTTCTCTTTTTGTTCCAAGTATACCCCTAATTATATATATATATATATGGTATCATAAAAGTAAGGGCAAAAGTGATCTTTCTCACAAAAAGTAATATAACATGTTGAATACTAAAAGAACTATTACCAAAACCAAACAATGTAAAGTACATTACATCATTTTCCTAAATTGCATGTATATTACAATGCATTGATTTAAGTATCACCAAAACCAAACGAAATCTTAATGTTAGGGTTTACGGTATAGAAGTGTAGAATTTTTTTCATTAGAAATTATGGTGTAGTACAATACCATAAATCCAGGTTAATCTGTGATCTAGATAGTCCCTATACATCAAATTGTCTAGGCGTAATAATAGGGCAATAGCCAGGATTTAGTGTAAGGTGGATACAATTAGAAGAAAATAATACACATGATAAAATAAATTTTATTAAAAAAATTAATCATTTATAATATAATCTTATATATATGAAGAAAAATGGTAAACTAAAATGCATTAGTAGTCGAAACTATCAAGATGTCTCTCTTTGTTTACCAAACTACTATTCATGCATATGATTTAGTTAGTTATTCGCTTTCGAATGGTGTTCTTTGTCAAGATTCGCTTAGTATCAATAACTCGAGTTGTTGAGAAATATTTAATAATAAATTTTATACTAAACAATTATTCATGATTTAGTTAGTCATTCGGTTTTGAATGGCGTTCTTTGTCAAGAACCGTTCAGTATCAATTGCTCGATTTGTTGGGAGAAGTTCAATAATATATATTTTGCTATTTACTAACACACCCCCTCATAAAAGTATATGGAATTGAATTTTGAACAAATCTGAATACTATATGCAGGGCCGGCCCTGAGGGTGTGCTGGACAGCCCTTCGGCACATAGCCTCCAAATTATGGGAGCCTCCGGACCTCCATCATATATATGACTAATTACTATTACGGACTATTGGGTTATTATAAATTTAAAACGATATAAAAATTATTAAAAAAATTTAAGCTCGAAAGGTAAAGGAACGAACCGATCACATGAGGAGAATACTTGTTTCTTATTAGACTTCTTTGAAACCATATAACAGAACTCATTCTTTGTCGTGTGTTTCCTAAATAGAACAAAAAAGGTAAATTTGTTGATGTCTAATTATTAGAATTATTAAATTTGTTTCTTTGACGTTCTTCATTTAAGCTTTGTAATTCATTCACTAGCTTTGCCAACGGGAAAAAATTCAATTTCGTCAATTAATCTGCTTGTACGAGCAAGACAGTAATGCTAAATTAATTAGATAGTCTGTATTGATTCATTAGACGTTAACCGGAATAATTAGGTACAAGGCTCCAATAGTAAAAAATGGGGGAAATAAGTTAATCAAGCTTGTAACATACATAACTTTAGGCTGAAAAAAGTATCAGTTTATCCTATTTAATATGGTTTACTCTACTATTTGTTTATACTATTTGATTCTTAAAATTATGTTCATCTTCTACTCAATTAAGTTCTCATAACCTATTCAGGTGAGTCTAATTAATTGATTCATTGTCAATTTAGTTACCATTCGGACTTTTCGATTCAATCTCCCAAATAATCAAATTTTTAATTACATTATGCTATTTAAATCACTTTCACTCTTTATTTCAAATCATTTAAGATAAATATTATTTTAAATAATGTTATGAATTTTATTTATTGATTGATGCTTTGTTTATATTTTATTTGATTTTTCGAAAAATAATTTAGACCACATTTTGTATGCATAACAGGGCCTCCAAAATCTCAGTACCAACCCTGACTATATGTTAGCTAATGAGGTCATAAAAATTCCATCACAATACCTCTCGATCAAGTATTACTTGACCTGATCCTCTTGCTTCTTGTTTGATGCAGCTTGGAGATATGGTACTTCATGGTATTGATACTGTTTGCTGGCTATCTCAAGGATGCTGAAGTATCTGTGGCTGCTCTGTCCATCTGGTATATAAGTCACACTCCAATAATTGAGGGCACTTAACTGGCGGACATGAATTCATCAATAATTTCTTTGCAATAATGCAGCATGAACATTTTGGGGTGGACCATCATGGCGGCTTTTGGAATGAATGCAGCAATCAGGTTCGTATTTTGTCTTTGGTCATAATTATATATACCTTGTCTTGTTCCTATTGGCAATTACGTTGAAGAAATTGTTGTTTAATTAATTAATTAATTAATCTTAACGAATAAACAATCCAGTCATAATAATTTGAAACATTTCGTTATGAGTTTTATGTCATTCCTTTACTTTGACGAGTCCTTCAAAAGAAAGCTAACAAATAATGTTCGGTTTGCAATAACTCGAATCGAATCGTAGGAAAATATTTTGTTATGATGCTTATATGCAATATCTTTTCTCTTTACCATTATTGGTTACCTTTTTTCCAGTGTTAGGATCTCCAACGAATTGGGAGCAGGTCATCCGAGAACGGCGAGATTCTCGCTGGTAGTGGCCGTGGTGTCATCTTTTATGGTGGGCGTCGCCCTTGCACTCATTCTGATGGTCACTAAAGACCACTACCCGTCTCTGTTCTCCAACGATTCAGCCGTGAAACGTGTCGTCACAGATATGACTCCCCTGCTAGCTCTGTGCATCGTCATTAACAATGTCCAGCCTGTTCTCTCAGGTAATCAATCTGAGCAGACTCAACTAGCTAGCAAATGTCTGAATTAGGACTTCAACTCGATCCGATGGCGATGCACTCATGACTGTTGTTACAGGCGTTGCGATTGGGGCTGGGTGGCAAGCAGCGGTGGCGTACGTGAATATTGGTTGCTACTATCTGTTCGGGATTCCGTTGGGCTTGATTCTGGGCTACCAATTTGATATGGGTGTCATGGTAAGTGTCATCTACTTGTCTAATTACTACCTAGTGGATGAGTTTGCGAGAATTTGAAATTTAGTAACATGATTGAACTTCATATCTATCAACTTCTTGATAGGTTCTTCATTATTCTTCTTTTCCTATGGATTAAAGTTTTTAGCATTGTGCACTTTCAATTTTTGTGTGTGTGTGTGGCAGGGGATTTGGTCAGGGATGATGGCTGGAACGGTGTTGCAAACTCTTGTGCTTTACTGGATGATCTACAAAACTAACTGGAATACGGAGGTAGTTATAATTCCTCCAGCTAGGTTTAGGTTGGTAGAAGAAATTCATCAATCGTTTTTGGACGGTTCAATTTTGAAACGAGACAATTTCGTCGATTGTCTTATATATTATATATAAAACGAGTCAATTCGAATTGTCAATCTTCTAGCCAGACGATTGGAACTGACTCAAAACGGAGCAATTCAAAATTTCCTATGCCAAATTGATTCATCCAGATTTTTTACCGGCAAACAGGGAAATTTAATCCATTTATCTCAAAAACAAGATAATTAGGTAAAATTGATCCATTACACATTGCTCAGCAAAATAATGCCATATAGAATGAATGATTAATGAGTAATACTTGTATTTAAATTTTGGTTGCAGGCTTCTAATGCGGAAGACCGGATAAAGAAATGGGGATGAGATGGAGAGGTGACTAATCGCTCTGTGATATTAACAAACTGCTACATCAGTCTTTCGGTAAACAACCATTTGAATGTTAATCGGCACATCCATGTTATTACACATCATCGGTATTATGTTTGTTGTTTTTGCTCTAATGGAGTATTTGCCCAATCTTGTATTGGTGTAGTTTACAAAAATGAAGGTAGAATATACAATGATAAGATGAAGTTGAAGATGAAATTTTTCGAAATGTAAATATGAGAGTGTGACAACCAAGGCCGACTGTTAGCTTGTGTTCGCCAGCTCTATAGAACAAGGCCTTCAATATAGAGATGGGATTAATTATGAGTTGTCGGAATCTCAAATATCGGAGTATAAGATGGAGCATAAAAATAAAACATTTATTTGTCTTTCATTTGCTAATAAACACTTTGCATAATGCACACCAGGTTTTAGATTCAAATCTTGTTTATTGTATTATTCATTTAAGTAAATGTCTTTTTATGCCTATTAATTTATCATAACTGAACTAAACCGTCCCTCCACTTTAATAGTTTAATCCTTTTAGTTATTCAACTTAAAGTGTGTACATTTAACTCTCATTACATAGGTATCCATTTATTTAATATAACTTGTCTAAACTGTCCATTCAGTCCCTCCACTTCAATATTTTGATTGTTTTAGTTCTTGAACTTTGGTAAGGCACTAGTGAAGGCACTCGCGCTATTCTTAGCCTTCTCCATCGTCATCAATTATGGTCAACCTGTTCACTCTGGTTAGCTCTAACTTTGAACAGCTTCTGGAGACGCCATCATGAGAACTAATCTGCGGGAAGGTGAGGTGGTTCTATTTCTTCTTTACGGTTTAGGGATGACTTAGGTAACCAGTTTGTGGAGCGAGAGCGGGAGCGAGAACGTGAGAGCGCCTATTCATGAAGAACTCGAGATAGAGAGCGTGTACAGAGCGTCATTATTATATTATTATTAATTATTTTTTATGGTAGTTCATACTTTTTTTTGTGAAAATGATAGTTAGTACTTAATAGTTAATACAAAGAGTACTACATTAATATTTAATAAAAATATCAATTAATTGAAATAAAAATAGGAAAGTAATAAATAAACGGATTGAAGAAGAAACACAAAAGGAAAAAATTATTCACCCTACAAAATAGGATAGACATGTACATATTTACCTATAATTTATCAATTTTACTTTACTCGTTCCTCAATTTCCATCTTCTTCCATTATAAAAACAAAAAACAAAAAGTTGACCGTCTGCTCAACTGCCTTCCTCCACCCACCGTCGAGTACTAATTCCGGCGAAGATTCTCAAAATCCTTTTTATGTTCTGATAGTTCGACAGATAGATGGGCTTTCCCATCTTGCTTTGTGATGATCTCGTCCCTCATCTTATTGTCAAAGTTGTTATAGCTTTTCAAGTTTAGAAGCTACCGCCGGTGGTTCCAGCTGGCTACAGTGAGTGATTTCAATTAGAGGAAATATGTAATGAATAAATCTCGTTCATCTAACAGAAAGGAGGAAGGGAGATTGACGTTTACTAATGCGACGACATTGCATAAGGGGGAAATAACGGGGCTGATGAAGTTAATATATCTCTGTTCTAGTTTTAAAGAGTTAGACGGCGAGAGAAGCTTTTCCTCAACCAATTCGCGAACTCAAAAAAATAAATCGCGCTCTCTACAAAGTTGGTTCACGAATTTTTCCCGACTTCCAAAGAATCCGCATTTAGACGCGCTAGAGCGGGAGCGGCAGCCCTATGCTGACGAATTAGGTAACCTAAGGGGTGACCCGTAATCATTGGAGCAGTATGGCTAGCAGCAGTGGCACACGTGAACATTGTAATCATGTCAGTCTCGTTGAACTTGTTTTAGTTTTTTAACTCTGGATGTTGCAGGGGATCAGGTATCGTATGCTTAACAATACTACAGACTATGCTTCTCTTCTGGACGATTACAGAAACCAACTGGAACGAAGAGGTGCGTGTTGATGGTTTTTGCTAATAGAAAGTTTGACCAAACTGGTCAAGTGGAAGAAAACTTGACAGAAATTATTTTGGGCTATTGAAATGCAGGCTTCTGCTGCAGAATAAAGGATAAGAAGATGGGGAGGAGATGAAGGAACCAAAGAGATTAATGCTTGACAAGAAATGGAATCTAGTATCCTCCATAATGGGGAGTACTGCACTCCCGGGCAATCCCAGACCATGTCACTACCCAGTTGTTATATGGCTACCTTTGAAGTTTGAACTTAACTCGTACCTTCACATCAAAGATGGGGGAATAAAGTAGCTTTCCTTACTGCAAGATGTTTGCTCTTGCACAATTTGAATAGAAACAGTAAGACTCAACACACAGGATAACGACGAAACCACAAGACCTTGGCAAGTAAACTGCCTCTGGAATCTAACAACCAAATTCAAGCACAGTCACAGATCAAAGACATTCTGGAAGAAAGGTTCAGCAATATTGATTGCTAAAGATGGATCGTCTAGTTGTAAACAAAGGTACAAAAGCCAGCCATGAACATACTGCTGTACAAGTCATTTCAGGTTTCTTTCATAGCCCTCCAGTTTTGGCATTGACATAGAACAGAGGAACCTGCCTTAACATACACCATAGGTAACTGCCGTCGACTGCTGAATACAAACTATCATCTCACACAACAGGGAAACCTTGCCTGGAACCCTATTCTGGATATTCTCAAGTTTCCAGACTGGATTTCCTCATTTGGGTTGTGCACCCATCTTCTTCAACCACAATGTAAGGCTAAACACATCACCCCCAATGATATCCAATAATAAGATCAAACAACATTTTCTTAGGGACCTAACCAAACCACATTGCCTCGACTCCTTCACTCATCTAGTATCACATCAACATCTCATACACATCACATCTAGCCTCACATACAAAACCATTCAAGATCACGACTGAATCCCTAAAACAACTACTGGTCACGAATCCAAGTCGGAATGAACCCAAATTATCGATCAATTCCAAACCCCCTACAGAAAAGAATCCAATCAAACTAGGGCAAATGCAAGCCACCCCATTTCAAGAACAGAGAATTCAGGGGCAACAAAGCAGATTTCAGAATGTAGATCTATCTTTGCATAAACCAAATATCATCCATGACAAAATTCCATCAATTCACAAACAAAACATAACCACCAGTTCCAAAAGCTTAATCCCAAATAACAAGCGAAGAAACCCTAGGAAAACAAAATTACTCATTTTTCAGGCAGTAAGCACGACGGCTCCGCCGGCCTCCTTGATCTTCCTCTCGGCTGTCTTGGATACGAGCTTCGCCTTCACCACAATAGGCTGGTTCTCCGGCAAGACTCCCTTTCCGAGCACCTTGAAGTAGCCGAACTGAGTGACGTCAATCATCGGCGCACCATCCTTTCCGGCCTTATCCTTGACCTCCTGAGGAACCATCGACCAGAGCTTGTCGATGTTGACGATCGGGCAGAAGAACCTGTTCTTCAGCTTGTGGAAGTACCTCATACCGACCTTGCCGAAGTACCCAGGATGGTACTTGTCGAACAGGATCCGGTGGTGGTGCATACCTCCGGCGTTACCGCGACCGCCGGGATGCTTCCTGTGCTTGCCGATACGGCCGTGCCCGGCGCTGACATGGCCTCTCTTCTTGCGGTTCTTCTTGAAGCGGGTCGTCATTGGAGGCAGCGGCGGCGGCGGATGTGTGTGATTTGTATTGAGGGGTTTTCCAGCGGCGGAAATGGAGTTTGGAGGAAGGCTATTAGGGTTTGGTTTTAATGGATTGGAGGACTGTGGCCCTTGTGGTTTGACGTTTTCACCACTAGGGTATTTGTGAGTCTAGGCGAAGGGAGAAGGGTAAAAACGGAAACAATGATGATGGGCTGAAAATGAGATAAAAAACCTACACGTTACGGTTGGGCAGGCTGTATGATTTAGTCCGGCCCAAAAGCGAAACCATATTTACTGTATCACTCAAAATATCCACCCTTTCCCGAAATTGTGATTTTTTTTTATAATGCCCGAAATTGTGATTTATATTTCATATTTTTACATACGATAAATTGTGTAATTTTTGTTAGTCTTGTCATAAGATTTCAACTTAGATTTCTAATTCTAAATCAATGTCTAAAAAAAAGCTTATGATAGAGTCGAATAGTCGTTTTTATTTGTGGTTTTGGATTAAATGGGGTTTAGCCTGACTTGGGTACGGTGGATTTGAGAATGTTTGAGCTCCCCGTCTTTCTCTGTCCTTATGAATGGCACCTCTGCCGATTTTTTTAAAATCGACGCGGGGACTTTGATAAGGCGATCCCTTGTCCCCCTAATATTCTTCATATGTACAGAGGGGTTTGCAGCGCTCATTCGAAAAGCCATCCATGAACAGAAGTTAGCAGGTGTTCGGGTTAGCCCTAAAGCCCCGCGTATTTTCACATATGTTCTTTGCAGATGATTCATATTTATTTCTTAGAGACTTGATGCGAGAGTGTGAAATCTATTTGAGGTTTTGAACGAATATGAGGAGCGCAATGGGCAAAGGATCAACGTTGCTAAATCAGAAGTGTGCTTTAGCAAGAACATTTTGCTTGTGGATAAAGAAACCCTTGCTCGCCGGCTTGGTGTAGGAGCGGTAGGGGTGCACGATAAGTATTTGGGTCTGCCTACCTTGGTTGTTGTTGAGTCCAAGATGGCTACCTTCCGATATACAGGGTTGGAAGCAGAAGGTGCTCTCGTGGCGGCGAATGAGACACTCATTAAATCAATTGTGGCTTATTTGCCACTTTATTTTATGTCTTGATTCAAGCTTCCTCAATCCCTTTATCGAATTCTAGATAACCAAGTGGCCAGATTTTGGTGGGGTGTTGAAGGGGGTCGTCCGCGTATTCGTTGGAACTCCTGGCAGAATTTGTGTTGAAGTAAACATGAAGGGGGTGGGGTTTCATTGATTTGAGCATTTTAATGAGGATGTACTGGCCAAGATTGGATGGCGGATTCTTAATGAACTCGTTTCTCATTTGGCCCAGGTTTACAAAAGGAAGTACTTCTCAACGGACCATGTATGTTTGGTCCCCGAACCATAAGCCAGCAAATAAATTGTAGAAAATGAACCTCCAAAACCAATCGAAATAAAATATATATTGTTCCAATACTGAATACTAGCTAACAATACCACTTTGGTATCCCATAAGGCATCAACACACAACAAAGCTCAAAACCCAATGTAACAAAAAAAACTAACCAAGTACTTTCTAAGTTACCAACAAACAATTTCAAGTCTACAACCCAATATAGGATAGTCCAAAATCCATAACAATAAATATTAAATAACATCGAAAATTTAATAACTACTAAGTCCTTTAAACTACAAATTGCAAGTTCAAGCACCATCCTCTCCATGTCCATCACATATCACACTCTAACCCCCACTCCTCCAAGCGGAGGCAACATCATCACTTTCTTTAATCTCTTTTCTCGGGTAAAATACTTCTCGTGCCATTAAACTTCCAGAATTGGGGCAAGGATACCACTCAACTACGATTAGGGCCTCGGTTACCACCCAAATCAAAGAATTGGTGCCCCGTTTTAATTTTCCATTAAACCCACTAACGGGGTGGAGAAAGAAAACGGAACTGCCATGTTAGCGCTCCACCTGGTGGCTTACTCATTTATGGCGGCAAACAAACCCGACAGAACTTGTTTCTCTGATTCCCCAATTAAATATCACCCACCTCTTTTATTAACTCCCTCCCATTTATAATCCAATACCCACCCCACCAGAAGCCTCCAAAGCTTCTCCTTCCTCCTCATCTCACTAAGCATGGCAAAAGAAGTCGCCTAAAATAGAAGCAACAACTTGGATCATCTTCCTCTTCCTTCTTCTTCTTCTGTTGCTTGTTGTTCTTCTTCTTCTTCCAATATGGCAGGCTCTAATGGTGTTGCAGGTCCTGCTTGTTGATGTGGAGCACCAGCCTTGCTTCGTACTTCTTGGTCAGATACCAATCAAGGGCGTCAATTCTACGGCTACAACAATTATGGGGTTTGTTTGTTTGTGTCGTAATGATTCAATGAGTTTGGTAGGTTTTATTGGCATAATCAATCTATTTAAACTAGAGTTTGTTCGTTCGTAATGTATAGGGTCCGAATGCGTGCGATTTTTTCCAATGGGTGGATCCAGTTCTAGACGAACCTGTGAAGCAAGCCATCCGTGGACTACTCAGGAGGGTTCGTGAGTTAGAGAGAAGGAATGAACATGCCTCTGGGTTGAGCCAAAACATGAAGTTTTTAATGTTAATGATGGTGTTTTCAGTGATTTCTTACATATTTAGAAGTATGTAATTTTAAACTAACCCCTACTCTCGTGTAATCAATGGGATTGAGAATCAATGTTATGATATTCCCTGCTTTCAGATAATCAATGGAAGTGAGACATAATGTTTTCGTATCCCCTGCTTTTGTGTAGTCATGGAACAATAACAATGAATGTTATACCCAGAACCAAAGTTCTGTTAAAAAAATACCACAACCTGCATTGCTTGAAGATGTCTGTAATTCTTAACAAAATAGTGCAATCCAGAACAACAACATAACATGTCTCGGCTCAAAACAACTAATTGGCTAAAAGTTTTGTAGTCTAATGATTGGCTACAAGATTGACACAAAACATTGAGCTCAAAACAACTGCTAATTGCACAACTAGTCTACTGTCTACACAATGATCCTTCACAATCTCCATTTAAACTTGCTGCCCATGGTTTCCCCTTCCTCTTCTGTTGGAGTTTCCTATTCCTGGAACAAAAGTTGGCCTAACACTTCCAGGCCTAGCCCATACCCGTTCTCCTTCATGAACCTGAAATGGCAATTTAGACTTCCAAATGAGCACGTTTGTAGAAAACAAAACCAGGTAACAACAACATGATGTCGCTTACCCAAAAACCCAAATTAGAAAATGCCACGTTCCCTCCTCGTTGAGCATGCATTTGAGTCACTATTATTGGGCTGATTCAAGGGGAGATTACTCAAAGATACCTTGCAAACCAAGAGTGATATTCGGGTTAATTGCAAGGTTGGTCACTATCATTACTAAAAACGTTCATGTTTAGTTACTCGAAATATTTAATTCCATTCATGGACATTAGAATTAATCAAACGGTCCAAATTTAGTCACTCTTCGTTAGTCTCCGTCCGTCTCCGTTAACTAAGTCTGTTACTTGCTGACATGACTAACAGAAGTGCCTAATAAGCAAATTTTAACCCAAAAAAAATAAAACCCAACCCGCCACGTCATCAAAACCCGCCACATCATTAAAATCAATCCAACCCATGACCCAACCCTTTCTATCTTCTTCTCTATTTAACCCGGCCCACCCAATCTTCCCCATCTTTGCCTTCAAATCTAGCCACCTCTTATCAAAATCAAAACCATAATTTTGGGTTATAAAAAGATCCTATTTACATCATACTTCCCCAAATCAAGTTTCACCCTCCATTTAAAAAGATCCATCCCCAAACAGAAGGCTAGAAGCCAAGAATTAGGAAGGAAAGTAGTATGAGGCTTGTTGTCTTGTATTTGGTTTTCTTTAAGGTTTTGCTGGGCAGTGTCTTGGCAAGGATTTTGCGGGGAAATATCAAGAAGAGGAGAGGGGGTTTCGTAAGGGTGGAGGATTTGGCGGCAGATTTGGTGTTGGAGCCGGCGACGATGGGTGGTGTAGGTGGAGGCGGAGGGTTTGGCGGTGGTGGCAGATTAGGAGGCGGAGGTGGAGCAGATCTGGGGAAGGATGATAATAAGATTAGGAGGCGGAGGTGGAGCCATTTGGAGCTTGCAATTATAGTATTTCGGTTTTTCGGTCGGAAATTCAGAAGTTCGGTTGAAAGAACCCTTATTTTCGAACTATCCATATTTTCCTTCCGAATTCCGAACCGAATAGCATTAATTCGGTTTCGGTTCGGTTTAATTTGGTGTTGGTTCGGTTCGGGTTTACCGAACCGTTTGCCCACCCAATGGTGTAGGAGAAGGATTGGTTGGTTGGCGGCGAAGACAGGATGGCGATCAGGGTGTTATGAGGGCACAAGAAAGAACTTGTATGCTTAACGGTTGCGGCCGATGTGATGTGTAGTGGGTCGGCGGATAATACAGTGAGGATTTGGTCGAGGGTATCTGTAAGGAGTATTGTTGTGGCCTTTCTGGAAGCCATAAAAAACAGGGGAAGTGGATTTGAGGAAGAGGAACAGACTGGTTGTAGATCTGACATTCAATCTGGCTCGGGCAAGGAAGAGGAACAGACTGGTGATGGTCTATTTGAGGATGGCGGTGGATGGTTAGGGAACGGACTGGTGGTTGTGGTGTTGCTGTTGCCGAAGAGGCGGTGGCGACGACGGTCAGAAAGGGTTCTGGTGGTGGGTCATGGATTTGATTTGGTTTGGGAGATTCCTCGAAGATGGAAGAAGAGGGTGGTGTAAAATGTGGTTAGGTTGGGTGATTGATGACGTGACAAGTTTTCTGATGTGGCAGGTCGTCTTTTTTTTTTTCTTGGTTAAGTTTGGGTGAATCATCACTTATGTTAGCCACGTCAGCAAAATACTAAAGGTGTTAACGGGAACTGACGGAGACTAACGGAGAGTGACCAAATATAACTCGTTTTACTAAACCTAGTGACCATGAACGGAATTAAATATCTTCAGTGCCTAAACATGAACGTTTTTTGTAATCTCAGTGACCAACCTTGTAATTTACCAGTGATATTCTAAGTAAAGAGAGACAAGAGACCACAATGTTCATTTTTAGTCAAGTCAAAATAAGTACTGGAAGAATGTTTGAGAACTTACTGTTGATCCAGATGTTTGAAATGGAGTAATCAATCGTGCTGCCATTCCAGCTAGGTTTGAATATCTTCCTTCAGCTCGGTTGATTGGTTCACCATAATACCATACCTCAGTAGTTCTTCTAGTCGTTCAAGACATTACACCAGCCCCTCCACTCATTCTAGCAGTCC